AGAAGCTTGAAGCTCTGGGCCGCAAGGTATCATGGATATCTACTGTTACGATTTGTAATCAAGATACACCGGTTTCAAGCTTTCAGGTTTTCTCAACGACATCACTTTTTGTGTGCAACTGCTTTGTATGGTGGTAATCCTTTATATGAATATAATTCCCATTAGGCAAGTACGCGTACATCCGGGTTCATGATCACAAGCTTGGYGAAAATGCAACGCTGATTCTGAGAGACTTCAGGTTGAAAATGAACACGTGTTTCAGCTTGATGTACCACATGTTTGGTCAAGACATAGAGACGCTAGAAATACGTCAAGACGGCAGGTTGTTGATGAGATTATCAGGGCCACAGGGGAACAAATGGAAGCTTGSTAAAGGAATGCTAATAAATGGTACATCTACAGAGGCGACATCAACGGTAATACTTTTAATTGATCCTATATTACTCTGTAACTTGGAATATTCTGGTAAAGATTATGATTCTTTATWATTTTTGCTGTCTGAAAGTATTGTGGCATAGATGCATGGTACAACGCTAATCATATTATATTTAAGTATGTGTGCCGATGTTTTTTATCTTTATTTAAGTGCYTCACCAAGATACGCTAATRTTTTTTTCATCTGAGCAACCAACCCGTGATGAGTCAGGGCGCAAGTCAAATACTATCTTCACTAGCATGACTTCGAATCGTAATGTCTATTGAGTGTTTCGCCCTGCAAACCCAATTGTAATATAACATTATCTTAACAGTATTTGAGATGAAGCTTATCTCTCCTTATAGCTTTCTATAAGTGGTGCAGCTGGTGTTTATGAAAAAGGAGATATCGCCATTGACCAGATTCAACTTCTACCGAAGCATGAATGTCAAAATATAAGTAAGTGTAAATAAATTATTGGAAACAAAATCGGATTAGCGGTGATTACAACCGTGAAGTCAACGAATTTATCTTCGACTACAGTTMATGTAGGGCGTACAAATATCAAAACTTTCATTCAGTCATTTCATATAACATTGTGTGAATACAGTGATGCTGTTTATTGTTTTCCACGAACGAATTGCATTGTTGTTATAGGATCTAACGAAAGTGAAGTTACAAAATGAAGCCTTACAAAATAGGACTAAATTTCTTTCCATTGAATGCAAATGAACAGTGCTGGCACAGTGAGGTGCAACACAAAAAATCAGAAAAATACGAATGACAGTGAGAGAGSATGAGAAAATGATAGGCACAAAAAACTAGAGTGCTGAAAATTCTCTTTTCTTGTATGTACAGCATGCCCTGCGTTGAACATAACAAATGCGARTAAGAGTTGTGGAATTTCAAGACCAGACGAAGTCTGCAAACCTGTTTGTTTGAACGGGTTCATTCTGAAAAACTCTCCAATTGAAGGCTTGAAGTGTCTTTCGATGGGAACCTGGTCACATGACAAACCAGCATGCATAGMAGACATGGGTGAGTGTACATAAACTTCAATAGGGTGGGTGCTYTTAAACATTTTGTCGAGTTTTGAAAGGTGATGCATTGTATTAAGATTCAATGGGTAATAGGTCTTCCCAGTGTAGATTGATTTCTAGCTTGATTATTTAGTTATGTAATTTGAACTCGTATTTAAACACGTATTGACGTGCAGGATATCAGTATGCATGCAGTTGTTGTAAGAATGTAAAGTGTACACGCAACACAAGTCGTGTTTTGATTCGTATCGGAGTTGGCCGTCATTAGAAATAATAGTTGATGTACAAAAAGAGTACAACGTGCGAATTCAGTTTAAATGTCGCTATTTTTATTTTCTCCGCTGAGTTTTTTTTGTTTTTTCCCCCTCAAATCAACCAGATTCAATCGACTGTAATTTTGAGTATGGTGATTGTGGATGGATGGCGGATCCAGCAGTTTGGAAAAGACGCCGAGGAAAGGTATATGGGTACGAAACAGGACCAACACGTGACAACACGCCTGAAGGAGGTGGCCGAGGTGAGTGTGCACGTCCTTTTCTGAGGTAATCCACAATACTTTGTCTTTGTATAGTCAATAGTATAGTCCATCCCATAGTCTTTGTCTTTATATAGTCAATAGTATAGTCCATCCCATAGTCTTTGATCAGATGAAAATAACAATTATCGTGTAATGAATTGTTTTAACTTGAAACTCCAGACAAAAGATGAAATGTAATACAGAAAATCAATTGGAATACGGAATTTGAAAATTAGGGCAGCAATATCTGGAAATTCACTGCACAATCTATGATATAATACAGAGAGAGAGCATCAGGAAAAACAATGAAAAAGTGAATATGACTCAAGTCAAGAGCTTCGAAATGATATACACATTCTAAAATAAAAAACGCTATTGCATTTTAGGTTACTATGTGTACGCTGACTCGTTCAATAGCAGTAAGAATRACATGCCAGTGTCAGCCACTTTCTCAAGTCCAACAAAACTGAGGGGCTGCTTCAAGTTTGCATATTTTATGTATGGTACTTCTGTGGGTACATTGGAGCTTTATGCAGACATGAAACTTGTGTTCAGAAAGGAAGGCCAAAACATATTGGATGACGACGACCCATGGAAAATTGCCATGGGGTTTTTAGAGTTTAAGGAGGTAAAAACACCACGGCTTAAAGTCTGAACTAATATACTTGTTGCCTGCCATA